GCGCACGCACCCCAGCCCCCCCTAAAAAGCTGCCGCTCCATGGGACAAAGGCTCCCTGCCAGGCAAAACCCAGGCACGGGCGCCTGCTCACCGCCGGAGTCCCCACCCGCGCCACCCACGTGCTCTTGGCTGCCAGGACCAGTCCTTACCATGACGTAGTGACGCTGCATCTCCGATTTCTCACTGGCTAGTTTGTCACATTCCAACTTCAAGCTGAAAAGCCAGAAAACAGTAAGAAAACCACAAACAGGAGGTGAGGGAGTTGATGGCCACGGAGCAGCTGCTTCCTGCACGGCCCCATCCTGGCCAGGCTGCCTGCTCGGACTCAGACCACTGTCCAGACTCCACGGGGCGGTCGGAGCTGGGCCATGATGTGCTGGCACAGTGGCAACTGCAACAGAGCCTGCTCCCACCTTCCCAGCTGGAGTCCCACCAGCACAGGTTCAGAAGAAGCAGCACAAGGGTGTCCAGCTGGTGGACACCAACCTCCCCCCGGCAAATCCTTTTGATGGGAAGCAGAAAGCTGGGAAGAAGCAGAGGTGGCTGCCCAGGGAGGGGTTTGTCTTTCCTCGGCTGATCACTGGCAGCTGGGGATGGTTCTAGCACGGGCCTGTCTGCAGCACTCAAAAGATGCTCCAGTACAACTTCAAAACCAAAGCCAGATCCATTTCTGGATGGTGGGAGGAGGCCCAAGCGCAGTACATCCCTCCAGAAGAAAGCATTTTTTTCTCTCCCCTAGATTCTTCACACCCTTCAGAGAAGGTGCCGTTGCTCCCCGTGTTTTACGAGACTCCAGCTCAACAGCCGAGCAATGCAGCCGGCATGTGCTGCGGTTTTAGGTTTCAAACAAGAAACGGCTTCACCTACACAAAACCTGCCGCTTCTTGAGCAGATTAAGTCTGAGGGGGTGGAGTGGGGGGATAACCTCTCTTCTGACGGGCAACCTTCTTGGGCTCCCCTACTCCCTTGCTGGCACTGCCTGGAGACATGGGAACAACCAGGCAATAGCCACTTCCCAGCAGTTTCTCCGCCTGCTCCTGCCAGAACACCACCACCGCCGGGTTGTGACCCGGGAGAGCAGACAGGGAAGCCACAGCTGGCACCCTGCAGCCTGCTGGGCCATGGCAGAGGGCATCGCCTCCTCAGTTTAACCCAGTAGCTTCACGTTTATTTCAGACCTACACACACACACAAAGCAACAGGCCGGCACAAGCCAGCTTTTGGGTCAGCAGAAGTATTTCCACACAGCCGCAGAAAAGCGGAAGCTTTTGGGTTTAAGTGCTCTGTGCAGCTTTCGCCATCCAAGAACGGCAGCCAGCGAGAAGAACGGAGGAAAACTCCCAGCAAGACACGGGAGGCCTGGCAAGCCTCCGTGTGGTCTTGGCCGAGCAGCGCTCAGGGGAAAGACCTTGGCTGGAGAGGAAAGACGCACGTTCCCCTCGCTGGGCTCCCAACTGGACGGGACTAATCCCCTGCCTCAGGTCCTCCTCTAGCCAAGGGTGACCCAAGCCACACGTGTGACCAGGTCCCCTCCTTGGCGT